AATTGCTTTAGTATAATCATTTAAAGCATGATCTACCAATTCTAAAGTATAAACTGCCTAATTTGAATTATAAATAATTTACCTCTACCATTAAAGGCGTCTAAATTTCTAGGATTAAGTTAAATTGCTTGATTATAATCATTTAATGCTTTGTCTTTTTTTCATCAATTTCATCATATAGATAGCCTAATTCAGTTAAATAATTCACCTCTACAAAGAAAGGCCAAAGAACAATTACTATCTTTTTTTATAGCTATTTCATACTATAGTTTTTCTTACCTTCTCCCCTAACCCGATAAAATAGACCTATTCTACAGTATTCCTTTGCAATTTGGATCTATTGCTATACATTACTCATAGCAAATTTATATAACTATTTTCTGAAAAATATTGTTGCTAAATAATTTATATTTAAGTTTACTTCCTTAATACAAACTCTCAACTGAATTATTATCTAATTCTATACTTTTGTTAAGATCTTATAAACCTTTGTCAAAAAAGTTTAATCTTCCAAATAATTCTCCTAAAAATATAATTAAATTTATTCAATCTCTCAAAGTGTATGCTTGTGCTAATAATGGATTGATATCTAAAGCTTTGTCAATTTCTTCTAAAGCTTCTTGGATTCTATACATTTTTTTGAATTCCTTAAAATTTTCTATAGAAAAATTTTACCAAACTTTCAGAAATAATGTTAAAGGGCTGTTAGTCTTTCTTCTTCTAAAAAAATTCGTTTTCATCATTTTTAAAATGATTCCAAATTTTAAATTAAATAATAAGTTTTCTAAAGTTTTCATAAAAATAAATACCAAAGTTTTAATAAGAAAAATTATACCTCACAATTTTATAACTACATATAACCTGTATCTCACGATTTTATAACTACAAATAACTGGGTTTGCCCGCTAGAAGTAGTTGTCTCAGCAGTCATATTTTTATCGAATGATCTCACCATGTTGTAACATCTACAGATATTCAAAACTAAATTGTTCCTTTACTTACAGCTTTTATCAA